AATCATATATATATATGATTATATATGATTATATTATGATATATAATCATATATAATCATTGGGGATGGGGAATATATAATTTCCAGAAAATATATATATATAATTGACAAAGGATTGAGTGTCTTTTTTGTCAAATTGTCAATATATAATTTCCAGAAAATATATATTTTCTGGAATATGTGTGCCATGTATGCAAACTAATCAATATAATCATTGGGGATGGGGAAAGCTATTGAAAAAGTGTTCATCCAACTAGTATTTACTGTACAACTGTTAAGTACCAGGTACTACCAAAGCACTTGGTATATTTTAGCTCACTTAATCTGCACAACAAAAGAAGATTGCCTGAAGTAAATAGTATCTCCATTTTACAGATAAAGACACTGAAGCTCAGAGAAGGTAAGTGTCTTGCCCCAGGTCACACAGCCAGGGAGGTGCAAACCTGGGACTTGACTCTATGTCTGAATAGAGCCTGTGTTCACAGTCACAGCACTATGCTGCACTGTCTCCTTCCTTTACCTTCCAAGAGGATTCACAAAGCATCCTGACTACAGATAAAGGCCAGGCCTGGAGAAGTGACCCTTTAAGCAGTGTGATCATTTGTGAAAAGGCCAGCTGTTAAAAGGAATATTTCATGAAGATATGAGAACACAAACCAAGAAGGAATGAAAATTCAAAAGATATTACATTTTGAGCTTGAAAGCGTTTATTTAACAGGTCTAAAAGAGGTATAGTCTCCACTACAAAAGATGAATGGAAAATAAATGACTTCTAGAATTTCTGTTTACTATGTTTAAAAAAAATATGTGCAGCCCTGAGAAATAATGAGGTAAATCTATAATCTCTCACCTAGAATGACCTGTAAGAGTAATATTTTAAAAGGAATAAAATAGCATATAGAAGGACATTAGTGGGGTAGTTGGTGAAGTTTGAATAAGGTCTCTATATTAGATAGCATTATTATATCAATGCTAATTGCCTGATTTTGATAACTATACAGTAGTTACAGAAGAGTTGTCCTCGATCTTAGGAAATACGCATAGATGTATTTAAGGGTAAACTGGCTTGTATATGCAAAACAGGCATCTCAAAAAATTATATATAATATATATGTATGCACACATTCATAATACAAACAGAGACATGGGAAAGTGAGAGAGAATGATAAAGCAAATATAAAACGTTAACATTTGGGAAATCTGGGTAAAGAGAATACAGAAAATTTTGCATCAATTTTGCAACTTTTCTGTAAATCAGAAATTCTTTCAGAATAAAAAGTTTCAGATACAGAAACGTGTATAAGGTAAGTTTCAATTTGTGTTTAACCAGCAGGGATGTACCCACACACTAGAATACACATGATGGTTTCTGAGAAATACACAAGCCACTTGTAATAGTGGTTTTTTCTAGAGGCTTGGGGATCTGAGGTGGAAGGGAATGTACCTTTCATTTTATACTCTTTGGACGGGTTATATTTTTAAAACATTTTATGTCTATACCATTTCCCGCTTTTTAAACCTTTAAATATTTGAATGCCAATGTTTCTATTTCTCCCCACCCCCTTCTGTTTGTGAGAGCTCAGTCCTGTTGTGCACAACACTTTTCAGGAACCCAGCAGTGGGCCAGGACCTCTGTATTGCCAGCCTCACAGGGCCAGAGCAGGCCTCCGAGTATCCCTGTGCCTTAGCATGGCTCCTGGGGAAGACAGAGATGGAATAACCAACTCTGGCACTGCCAGTAAACATCTCCGCTATCTCCTGAGAACTTTCACGTAAGCCGTTCATTTTATCCGTTTGTTCACTCTTAATCCAGATATATTTCTTTGACTTCTACAATCAAAGCCAACACAGAGCCCCCGGGGGCAGGGGCTGCGGGGTGGTGAATCTAAACAAAGCATTTTTAAACCAAATACAAAGACCACATATTTTATGACTCCATTTACATGAAATATCCAGAGCAGGCAAATTTATAAAGGCATAAATTAGTATATAAAGACAGGGGCTGGTGGAGGAGAGAAACAGGGATTGACTGATAATAGGTATAAGATTTCTTTTTGGGGCGGTAAAAATGTCCTCAGATTAGATTATGGTGATGGTTGCACAATCGTGTAAATATACTAAAAACCACTGAGTAAATATATAAAATGCGTGACTTTCACATCTCGATAAATCTGTTTTAAAAGATCCAAATACATACCATTTTGCAAATACTGTTCCAACTGGTCCCTTCTCTCATCAGCCATAGATGTGGTCATTGCGAGATAGTACTTTGGTGGAAAGGGTGGCAGGCAATTTCCAAACACCCGCCTCAGCTGAAAGATCCAGAAAACACACGGTTAAGGCAAAGCGCCTGAAATTCAGGGTTGGTGAGATACCAAAGCCTCCTCTTAGGGCAAGTCTCTCTCCAGCACTTTATTCAAAATGAACCCTTCCTGGTGGCCAAAAGGAGATACCTCGATTTTCTTAAGGAGCAATTTATTTCTGTAAAGGTTTCTAGAACACTATTAGAAATATCATGGACTGACAACTCCAGTCTGAGTTTGATAGATATGGTGTACATTTTAATTTTTCATTTGTTTTTACAAAACTGCCCACCAGTCACATCATACAATATTCATACAATACAATCTTAATATTACATCATACAATATTAATATTTAATTAATTCCCCAATAGTATCTGTGATGTCAATGATGAGAGTTAGGAATTTAATTCCCCCACCATGCCCCCCACCCAATCTGAACATAACAGCAGATGTTTACAGCTGTGCTATCTAATTTGGTAGCCACTGACAATGCAGCTAGTCCGAACTGAGATGTGCTGTAATTGTAAAATACACTCCAGACTGTGAAGACTTAGTACAGAGAGAAGAGAATGCAAAACATCTCGTTAATAATTTTTTATATAGATTACCTGTTGAAATCATATTTTGGATCTGTTGGATTAAATAAAATATATTCTTAAAATTAATTCCACCTGTTTCTTTTTATGCTTTTTAACATGTTAAAATTTTAACAGAAAATTTTATATTACATACGTGGCTCACGTTATATTTCTAGTGGACAGCGCTGGGTTCTAGAATTCCTATAATGCTGACATATGATCCCGATAGAAACCCAACCAGGCCCCTTCCTCCTCCCCACCCACACATGACCCAAGACCATGGCGGAAATTATTTTTATGCAAGCTCATAGTGGATGCATCAAAAATAATTTTAAAATTAAGATAACCAAAAGTGCATCTTCCTTCATTCTAGCCTTACGCTTACAGTGATAGCTCGAAGATAAGATACCTCATCATTCTCTTTAAAATAGGAGAAAGGAAACCAGTAAGAAACCCACTGAGATTTTAACATGGTACCTCTGGAGCAGGAAGGCTCAGTGGCTTAAAGAAAATGAAAGCAGATCTAATAGAAATGAGACTGCAAACAAATAAGAACTTTCATTCCATGACCTTTGTCAAAAATACAGTGTGTGTTTGGCAAATATTTACCTTGCATAGGCCTTAACTTCAAAATACATCCAGAATCTGACCACATCTCTCCACCCCCACTGCCATCACCCTGGCCCAAACCACTGTCATCTCTTCCAGTTTATTGCAGTAGCCTTCCAACAGATCTCTCTGCCTCTGCCCTTGCTCCCCTTCTGTCTATTCCTAATACAGAATCTGAGGTTATAACTTAAAAATGTAAGTCAGATCATTCCTCTTCCCTGTGCAAAATCCTTCATGGCATCCCATTTCACTCAAGTACAAGTCAAAATCCTTAGAGTGGCCCAGAACTGTACCATCCAATAAGATGTCCATTAATTGTCTGTGACTACTTAAATTAAAATAAAATAAAATTTAAAATTCAGTTCCTCAGGGCTTCCCTGGTGGCGCAGTGGTTGAGAGTCCGCCTGCCGATGCAGGGGACACGGGTTCGTGCCCCGGTCCGGGAAGATCCCACATGCCGCGGAGCGGCTGGGCCCGTGAGCCATGGCCGCTGAGCCTGCGTGTCCAGAGCCTGTGCTCCGCAACGGGAGAGGCCACAACAGTGAGAGGCCCGCGTACCGCAAAAAAAAAAAAAAAAAAAAAAAAAATTCAGTTCCTCAGTCATACAAGCCACATTTTAAATACTCAATAGCCACTGGAAATGTGGCAAGTTGCTACTGAATTGGACACAAAGGATATAGAGCATTTCCACCAGCACATAAAGTTCTATTGGACAGTGTTGATCTAACACCTAGAAATGTTATTAACTGCCTACCTGTAGGGAAGATACAGCTCCCTGATTTGTTTTGTTTGGTCTGCTAGGTTGTTTGTTTGACTACTAAAGAATTTTCATTTGATGCCAACATTTATTTTTGCAATTAAAAAATTTTTTAAGTTATGTCCTGGAGAGAATACAAAATGGTCCAGCCACTTTGGAAGATAGTCTGGCAGTTTCTTACAAAGTAAACATAGTTTTACCACATAGTGCAGCAATCACACTCCTAGTTATTTACCCAACAGATTTGAAAACTATGTCCATAAAAACCGGCATACAAATGGTGCTTTATTCATAACCACCAAAAGCTGAAAGCAACCAAGATGTCCTTCAGTATGTGAATGGATAAACAAACTTGGGTGTATCCCTACAATGGAATATTACCCAGCAATAAAAGGAAATGAGTTGTCAAGACATAAAAAGACATGGAGGAATCTTAAATACATATTGATAAATAAAAAGCCAGTCTGAAAAAGCTACATACTATATGACTTCAATTATATGATATTCTGGAAAAAAGCAAAATTATAGAGAGAGTGAGAACATCAATGATCACCAGGAGCTTGGGATGGGGGTACTGAATTGGTGAAGCACATGGAATTGTTTAGGGCAGTGAAACTAGTCTGTATGATACTGTCATTGTGGATACATGAGGCTCTGCATTTGTCAAATCTACTGCACTTTACAATACAACTTTAATGTGTCCAAATATATTAAAAAATCATTTAGGAAGTGGGGAAAAACCCAGGATAGAATGCAGAATGTGAGTAAACAATTTAACTATATTACAAATATATGAAACAACTGCAAGGAAGGGGGTGAGAGAAAAGGTGCTGACCTAAGTCACTTGGCAAATGAGTGGAGCCTGTAACAGTAAAGGCAAAAGAAGCTGTACAGAAGTACTGCGCTTTAGCTGATAAAGTTGTTTCCTACACAGGTACAGGTTAACAATTCTAATACCATTATATGTGTGTACAGAATGGAATAATTAAGTAAATGGATGGCAGATAGTGGGAGTCAGGTTTCTCACTGTTGGAATGAGAGTTTTCAGGTAAGTAAAGGGAATAGGCTAGAGTAAGCCATGTGGTAATGGATTATTGTCAGAGATATTGGTATGAACTCATGTTTAACTTAATATACATACAGATGGTTACACATAGAAGTATTTACAAACATGCATATATACACATATATTTTCTTGCTGTGTCAGCTGAGAGGGCCTAGAAGCAATGACACTGCAGTAGCAGGGAACACATCTGGTGCCCAGATCTTGGTTTCTAATATCATTCTCCAAAAAGCAACAAGCGCTCCAGGGAGAAATGGTTGACTCTAGGACCAAGGCAGGAAATATACAAGGTGAGCCTGGGGCATCTTGTACACCAGAAAATAAGAAAGTGGACAAAACAAACAAAAGTCAACAATAGGGGTATGTCAAAGAAACACAGGAGCAAACTGAAAGAGCTCCCATAGGACAAGCTGGAACAATTTGAACAATAAAATAAAGTCTTACTGAAGTACAACCTAAAGTATAAATTAAATATCTAGGAGTCTACATAGATATAAGTTATTGAATAGGTGGGGAGTAACCATGCCGAGTCTGACCCGGTTGCTGGACTGTTGCTGCTCCGCGCAAAGGATCTGATGGCCGTGCCTGCGCTGACCGACCCACCTCTGAGTGCCCTCAAAGGGCACCGACCCACCTTTGAGTGCCCTCAAAGGGCACTGTGACCTTTGAGGATGTGGCCATGTACTTCTCCTGGGAGGAATGGTGTCTTCTTGATGAGGTTCAGATACACCTGTACCTTGATGTCATGGTGGAGAACTTTGCACTTGTATGCATGCTGGGTAAGGCCCTCACACCCACCCCTATCCTCTGAGCTAGGTTCTGCCTTTCTCCTTTTCCCTAGGGGCTGCTGTGTCATTCTCACATCTGGACCATGGATACTGCTTTCTTCTTCAACTGCTTGGTCATGTGCTGTGGTTACTACGGCTAGCCAGAGTGCATCCCTACTCCTTAGTGCCCTAACACCAGTAGCCCCAAAGTTGCAGCTAAGGATTCAGGCTTGCAGTGTCCTGGTTCCCTGACCAGGGATTGAACCCAGGCTAAAGCAGTGAAAGCTCTGAGTCCTCACCACTGGACTGCCAGGGAATTCCTGCAGGTTCTTTTCCTGGAGTCGAGGATGAAGAGACACCTTTTGAACAGAGCGTATCTGCAGAAGGAGTGTCACAGATGAGGACCCCCAGGGCAGGTTTGTCTCCTGAGAAGACCCAGCCCTGTAAGATGTGCACCCCAGTCTTGAGAGACATTTTGCACTTGGCTGAGGAGCAAGGAACAAATACGAGGCAGAAAGCATACATATGTGGGGCATGCGGGAAACAATTCTATTTCACTGCAAACCTTCAAGAGCACCAGAAGCCGCATATTAGAGAGAATCCCATGTGATATGACATGGGAAGACCCTCATTTTGGAAGAGCTGCACAATCCACACAATAGGGAATCTACCTACCTACATGGAGATTGGGAACGACTTCGTGGCCAACATGGGACTTCAGCCACAGGCCACTAATACCAGGAAGAAACCGAACAGTAAGGAGTGTGAAGCTGTTTTTCACAGTGGAACAGGTCATCACAGCTGGCGAGAAGGCAAGAAAGCCTCCAGTCACACATAAATACTTGTTCAGGATGAGAGAGTCCTTACTAGTAAAGGGTTTTGTGAGTGCAGCAAACGTGGGAAAGCCTGCATCCAAACATGTAACTTTATTCAGCATGAGCCAGTTCACACTGGAGAAAGGCCTTATGAATGCGGCCATTGTGGAAAATATTTTAGCCGCAAATCTGGTCTCCTTGGACATCAGAGAGTTAACTGTGGAGGAAGGCTCTATGACTGCAGTGACTGTGGGAAATCCCTTAGCCTAAGGAAGCACCTCAGAGCACATAGGAAAATCCACAGTGGAGAAAAGCCTTATGAATGCAAGGAATGTGCTAAACCTTTCATCCAAAAGTGCATCTTAATTGAACATCAGAGAGTTCATACTGGAGAAAAACCTTATTGATGCACCCAGTGTGGAAAATCTTTTGCCCGCAGATCCAATTTCCTTGCACATCAGAGAGTTCACACTGGAGAAAAGCCTTATGAGTGCAGTGAATGTGGGAAATGTTTTGTTGCTAGGAGTGGCCTCCAATATCATCAGAGAGTTCACAGTGGAGAAAGGCCTTATGACTGCAGTGAATGTGGGAAATCTTTTACTGCTAGGTCAGGACTTCATGATCATCAGAGAGTTCACAGTGGAGAAAGGCCTTATGACTGCAGTGAATGTGGGAAATATTTTACTGGTAGCTCTAGCCTTCTTCATCATCAGAGAGTTCACAGTGGAGAAAGGCCTTATGAGTGCAGTAAATGTGGGCAGTCTTTTACTACTCGATCCTCTCTCTATGATCACCACAGAGTTCACACTGGAGAAATGCCTTATGAGTGCACTGAATGCAGGACAGCCTTTAAGCAAAGACAGCTCCTCTGCATCCATAGGAAAATCCACACTGGAGAAAAGCCTTTTGAGTGCAAGGGATGTGGTAAATCTTTCACCCACAGGTACCACTTGATTAAACATCAGAGAGTTCACACTGGAGAAAGGGCCTTATGAATATCACACATATGGCCGGCAGTGATGTTGGAGGAGTTTCAGGTGGTAAGAGAATAAGAAGAACCTGTGCAGCTAATGGACCCTTTCTAGAGAGGAAACTGAGGCACAGAGACGATGTGTCATCTGTTTGTGATCTCCCAGAAGTGGACAGGCATCTGGGCTTCAATGCCAGGTTGCCTGGTTCAGGATATCGGGAGTCTGGTCACTTCACTCCTCCCCTGCCCCTCACCCAGGTTTGGGGACTGAAAGAACACCTTGTCCATCCTGACACTTCTGCCAGCCGATCCCCACACCAGGAGCCCTGCTCATACCCCAGCCCCGTGCTGATGGACAGGATTATCTTTTCTCTGGGAACCAATATTGGCTTTCCTGTGACTGACTCCATTTATCTACCCAACCAAACCAGTGTTGTGATTCAGTTATTATTATTGCCATTTATGAAAGGAGGGGTGTCCAGCTCAGAGAGGTTGAGGGACTTCCACAAGGGGTCACTACTGCCAGGGCTTTGATGAGAGTGGTTCATCTACACACTGCACCGGTCCACTGGCTTCTCTCCTGCCCCTCCGAGCAGGGCCTCCATTTGCTGTGTCCTGACCATGAACTACCCACACCTGACATCTGCATCTCCACCAGGGTCTCCAGCTTCATTTTTACCAGTACACATCTCCCAGAAACACCCTCCTGCTTGGAAAGTTCTCCACAGGGACAGCAGCACTAAGCCAGGCACTCTGGACTGGGTCATTGGTGTCACCCCAGATTTGACACTGGCTCCACTGCCATATGCAGTGATTTGTTTCCAATGTCCTGTCCGTCTTCTTTATATACCCACCTCAGGATGTCCCTGTTGCCCTGTTATGTGGTTGACCTGCTCACTGTTCTGGGCAGTGTGAGGGACATGTAAGGACTAAGAATGTCCACTGTGGCCCTACGTGGCCTGGTCCCTAAGGCTCCTCTTCCTAAGCCCCTTGATCCATTGCCTCACTGCTCCTCCTACTGCTCCAGAAAAATGTTAACTCACCAAAATGATGGTTGTTAATTAGCAAGAACTTGCCCTCCCCCTCTTGGGACCCACACTTGATCAACTTACCTTAAAAGCTAAGACTGAATGCAGGCTGATCCCTCCCATGAAGACCTAAAGACCCGTGTATAAAAAATTACAATTTTAGGGGCTTCCCTGGTGGCACAGTGGTTAAGAATCCACCTGCCAATGCAGGGGACACGGGTTCGATGCCCAGCTTGGGAAGATCCCACATGCCGCGGAGCAAGTAAGCCCGTGTGCCACAACTACTGAGCCTGCACTCTAGAGCCCGCGAGCCACAACTCCTGAAGCCCCCGCTCCTAGAGCCCGTGCTCCGCAACAAAGAGAGGCCACCGCAATGAGAAGCCTATGTATCGCAACGAAGAGTAGCCCCTGCTCGCCGCAACTAGAGAAAGCCCGCGCGCAGCAACAAAGACCCAACACAGCTATAAATAAATAAATGTATTTTTAAAACTAAATAAATTATTGAATAAATAAACAAATTGGAGAGAATAGACAAATTTCCAAATAATGTACGTAGATACTTATCCCACAAGTACGTAGATACTTATCCTACAAGTATGGAACATAAATCCTTACTCTTTAAGTGTGGGCTGTGCATGGTGACTTCCTTCCTAAGAGCACACTGTGGAAAAGGAGGGAAAAAAGTAACTTTATATGGAGAAACCTGACAAACACTACCTCAGCCCGGTGACCAAGGTAAACTTGGCCCCTGTGGTTTTCCTCTCAAAACCATAACCCCAGTCTGGTCATGTGAAAAACATTGGACAAACTCCAATAGAGGGACATTCCACAAACTACCTGACCAGCGCTCCTCAAAACTGTCAAAATCATTCAAAACAAGGAAAGTCTGAGAAACTGTCACCATCAAGAGGAGCCTAAAGAGACATGACAATTAAATGTAATATGGGACCTGGGTGGGATCTTGGAACAGAAATAGGACATTGGGTAAACATTAAAGAAGTCTGAATAAATAACATGGTATCAATACTTCATTAACTGTAACCAAAGTATAATACTCATGGAAAACAACAGGGGAAACTGGGTGCAGGGTAGATGGGAACTCTCTGTACTATCTTCACCATTTTTTTAAATAAATCTAAGATTGGGCCACAAAAATAATGTTTATTAAAAAAAGAAAAACTGATGTTCCGGCTTCTCTTGAAGAATCGGAAGGTCTGGAATCACCAAGTTTCTATTCTCTCAGGCTGTTCCCACCACCCACCACTGCCTCTCACCTGATCCGTGCCTCTCATTTAAATTACCTGCCTGACCCCAGTAGCCATTTAGTTTGCCATCTTTCCTCTAAATCTAGTAGTATAAAATATTAGAGCAATGATACGTTTCTTTTAAATTCAAGGAAGTTTTCCTGCTGTGACAGAGATGGTCCAAAGGCCCCCCAGTTACAGCACCATCCCAGGTAGGGCTGCTCAAACAACCTGGAATTTATGCGCCCCATCTCTGCTAATTCCATGAAGTAGAAGCAGAAATTTGTCTTCTTTGCATGCAATTATTTCTTGATGAACTGAGTGAGTGATCTTTAAAAGGCAATTGTCTTCCTTGGCATGTATTCATAAATGTAGCAGATGCTCCCAAATTGGTTGGAATCACAGCAGCCTTGAGCCAGTAGGGCTGCCTGGGTTACCCAGCTACAGGGGAGCATCCGGAGTGGGGAGCCCTAAGGCCAAGAGCTGGGGAAAAAGTCAACAAGGATTAAGGTCCTAATACCCAACCCAGAGCAAAAACTCTCCCAGCAGGTTTTACAGCCTGAGCTGACTTCTCAAGGAATCTTTCCCCTCCTTTCTTGAGCACTGGTCTAAGGGGGGAGATAAACACACAATAAACTGAGCAGTTAAGTCCACCAAAAGTCAATCACCGACTCCACAAGTTCTTCAACTCTATCAAAATACAGTCTTTTCCACTGGTCTCAAATAGCACACAGTTGAGCTATTAAAAGCACTCACATACTAAGAATTATCTGGCATTAGAGTTTAGCTCCATCACTCTTTCAAAAACGGTTTCAAGAGATCAAAAGGAAAACACACCTCTTCTGTTCATTTATTATGAGGTGTTTTTGCTTGTTTGTTTGCTTTGAAAGACCATGTTCAGATAGCGTATTTTTTAAATCCCAGCACAATCTCCTGTTCTCCTAATTTCTCCATCATACAGTTCTGCCTCTTAACATGAAGAGAACTTTACTGGCCAATTGAAAATGTCACCTCCTTCCCCAACCCATGCACTCACAGCCCCCTATTCCTATCCCACAGTGGTGACCTGGGACAAGTAGAATTACAGTCACAAATGCTGTCCTTTTTACAGTCTCTTTTTCTACTGTTGACTCATTCATCCCACCTCTCCAAGGCCCCTGGTAATAAAAATCTCAGATTCTCCAGGTAAAGGGCCACAAGCTCAAAGCAATCTGGACTGTGATATCCTGTACCAAAGAACACTAGTCTTGTATATTATTCCATTTCTTCCTCAAAACAGTCCTGTGAGGTAGATGATCATCGCTGCCATTAACATTGTCATCCTCCCATCTTGACAACGAGGGCAATCTCACATCCTTCCACCTTGGCAACAAGGTTACTTGACAATATGAGTAACCTGAAGCTCAGGCAGCTGAAGTGACTTAAACCAAGATCCTACAGCGCAGAACTTGGACACAGTCTTTTTACTCTTTTGTCCTTCTCCTTGCCCTCTTTTCCTCCCATCTTCCTCCTCCATCAAATCTCTTGGGCATCTCCTAAAGCAGGATTCTGTGCTGGATACACTATGCCTACAGCCTTCATTCATTCCTTCATTTAAGTACTTGGGTTTTTCAACTAAATAAACAGGGGAAACAAGATCTTCACGCACACACAAAAGGAACGCGACAAGGTCTAAACATAAAGTGGCACAGGAATCAGAGAAAGGCATCTTGTGCAATCAAGGGGGACTTCCCAGAGGAGGTGAGGCTTAAGGTGAACCTTGAGAAAGGGCTGGTCCCTAACCCATGGGCCAGAAAGCAGGGGTCTTCCCAGAAGGGGGAAGTGAGCCAGGCAGAGGCAATGGGCTGCTTGATGAGAACAGAGGGTCTGAGTGGGGGAAAGAGGGGAGATTAGGTGAAAGAAGGGAAGAAGCGAGGCTGAGTCAGCACTCGGCAGGGAGGAAGACTGAGGCGGTGCGTAGCCCTCCTCTCCCACTGAAGGATCCGTTACAAGCTCCCATGGCTTGTCTGCATTGCCACGTCTGGCACTGGCAGGGTGTTTTCAAAGAAGCAAGCATCCTTTCCATAGAGTCTAGCGTCACTCACACAGGATGGCCAAAATGAGCTAGTTAAAGGTTTCTTTTACAGATCTCTTTAAGTCCCCTTGAGGGAGGTGGTACAGACAAGGGCATAGATCAAACTGGTTTTATTCATCGAAAGGCACAGAAAGCAGTCAGGTCAGGCAGTTCACACAGCAGAGAGATGGGCAGCACTCAGCAGCGAGGGGAGCCGCCAGACCTTAAGGGAACCTCAGTGGGGACAGGGCTTCAGAGGGCACAGCTGACCTCTGGGAAACACACCCATCTCTCCTCAGGTCAGTCTTATGGGCATTAGCCTCCGCACAGCTTGGCTGAGAGGAGCAGGGACCACTTCACCTGGGCCAGGTTCTTCCTCCCTGATCGCAGAGTTCTCCAATATACAAAACAGAAATCCAACTTGTAAATCCAAAAATCACACGGGCTAAAGTCAGAGTCTTCACTTAATTTAACATAGTGCTTGGTATTTAATAGGTACTTAGTAAATATTCTTAAGTAAATCAGTTAATTCTATTAAGATGAAATTTCTGTTCTACTGTGATGCAGAACTTCCCAAAAAATCAATTGGAAATGAACTTATACTCACCAAACATACACATAACACACACACACACACACACATAAACACAGATGGGGCCTTTATACTGTTTCCCTTTTTTATAGTGCTTAGTATTAAATC